GTGCCTGGATTCGTCCCCGCCAAGAAATCCATGGCCAACAGGTGGAGTACTGTCTGTTTTTGCAGTGCTGTGATTCAGTGACAGTGATGTGATAAATAAGTAGGTAGTATCTTGTGACTGATGCTGTCTGTCTGATTGATAATGTCTCTCTGTATCAATATTTAGTAATCTAAATATTAACTAATACTAACGCGTGAACTTATATCCAATCGACACTCACGGCACACCAGACCTAAAAATAGCGGCAATGGCTGTGGGCTCTGATTTAACTCCCACAAAATCTAGTCAGACAGTCAATCGGATAGTCCAGACGGTCCAGCCAGTCGACGAATCGGCCCACTAATTTGGTCGAGATACCAAAGGTGGCGTGTAGGCGCTAATGTTCTTGTCATTGCCTCAACTCGTGTCGCTGTTGGTGCACTGTGGGAAGTCTGAGTGACCTCTGAGATCAGTTACATTCACAGAAGGCTAAGTATTATATTCAAGTGAGTGTCAGTCACAGTGAGTCAGTTAGTGACAGTGAGTCAGTGACAATACGACAGAAAACACAAACGGATCAACCGCGATTCCCGCAGGGTTGCAATGAATCTTGTAGAGCTCCACTGGAACTTTCTGAACAGAGGATCCGTCGAAGCTGACCTGCCAACCGGCAAACAGGTGTCTAAGTTGTTTCCATCTATGACTATGATTGATCGACTGCACTTAAGTCTACTAGTCATTCTGAAATTATCTAGTAGTAACCTTTGAACCAGGGCTTGAGGTTTCAGAATTTGAGTCGTTTCTACTCACTCGATCTGACGCCACCGATCCTGGAGCTGCAAGGAGTTTTCGAACACCTTGTTCATCTTCTTCATGTATGCTTCCTGGATTGGCCGTGCTCACGCTGATTCACGAAGACATCACTGGTTACTGGGCAAGGGGAATGATGACACTGTGAATGAGACACTCTGTGACACTGTGACACAGCCAGATGTTTAAGCTTCGGGCCATGGTCCACTGGCTCAATCTTGCTGGGCAAAGTTTGGCGTCGGAGTGGATCATAGATTTGGTAATGGTGAAAAACCTGCAGTGCGGTTCAGGGACAGCAAGCCTTTATTAATTCATGATGAAAGGACTATAGACTAGACTATTATTATTTCATTTCTCAAATAGATAATAGTTTGTTTATTTTGGGATTTGATTCATCCTGCCTCCCCGCACGAACTCTCTCCATGATGTTGTAGCGCTCCTCCACGGAAATCTTGCTCCGACGCAACCTTCTCAGTGGAAGAGTTTCGACCATGCCGTCCACGTGAAGGTCCTGAGATGTACGGTGCATGTTCATTCAGTCAAACAATCAGATCAGTTGGATTGTAATGCTTTCGAGTCTAGTCGTCTATGTTGTTTCTCATGAATTAATACTTCAGAACTTCAATCAGCCAATCCCTTCGCAGCGACTGCGCTGAATTGAGAGCGCGTTGCCAAGCCACAAGAAACGCCGCGATTTGCGCAAGCAAGGCATTGGCAGTGCTGCGCAGTCTTGTCCACACAGGGCGGCGCAATGGATGCCTCCTCGGGTGACTGAACTTACTTGCTATGCCAGATTGCCACTTGACATAACTAACTCGGTTTACGCCACCACTGAATGACTGACACGACCAGACTCACACAGACAGACTCAGACCGACCACAAAGATTCCATAATCGAACCCCATCAACATAATGCGCGTCATCATTTTTGCTTCAGGTAGGTGTCGGATCCAGGCAGAATGCAATGACGGCTGCCAGGCTAGGTAGATCTGGTGAACAGTCAACCCATGGAGCTTTCTCATCCTCGGCAAGTAACAATCATCAACTTCGAATTAGAGTTCTGAGTTCATTCAACTCGAGTTAGTTAGACTATATCAATGAATGAATACGGATCGTCCGTCAGACGGACCGAGTCGACCGTCCCTAATCAATATACGACATGACTGTTTAATAAATCCGTTTTGATAATAATGAAAAACCGTGGTTCAGATCGTTGGTCAAACCACTTTTGCAGAACCTGCTCGGCTGAATCGCGATGAAGCAGATACCGCAAACAGAAGCTTTGCCCAGGCTTCAGCGGCAAGATCATCAATGGAAGTCCTGCGCTGCAGTGCAAAAAAATCGATTGGTAGCAGTGGAGGGACGGGCGCAGGTCGGTTCTCTGTCAGTCAGATTCGGGTGAGTCCACTCACAACTACTCATAACATCTCACAACCACTCATATCTACCTGGAGGATAATTTGCCTGCCTTTGAATCCAACATTCGGAGATTGATGTCTTCTTCCGAGAAGGTCCAGGAAACATCGGTCCTTCTGCCATCTCTGGTTGTATTTGAAGATTGAACTTACCAGTCTGTAAACAGAGTTCTACAAGCCCATTCAATAGCTTCACGGTGCAGACACGAACCCCTGGTAGCATGCGTCCATTTCGAAGAGCCCACCCAATCATAGACACAACCATGGAGGTGGGAATGGTCTTCTCGGTAAAGACCTGTGGCGCATCCTGAGTCAATGAGTCAATGAGGAATATTCCAATCTGTCAAGCGTTGTGCAGTACTGGTAATGACTTTCATTGTATGTCTGTGAAAGTCTCGCCCCAGATTATTCCTAATTGACTCAAAGCAATCCAAGCCAAAGCACTTCAGTGATCCAGCGGCTCTTCTTTGCTTCCAGAACTTGTGGATTTTGTCCGTTCCAGATAGTGCGGTGGTACTCCAAGATTGATTCGGATCTATCGTTGTATCTTTTGCCTAAGTAGCGGGTGGGTTACCAGGCGCATGACTAATCACCCACCCCTCAATGATTAATGGGACATGATGGGGCCATCAGTTCTCAACAACGAGTTTAATTATGTGTAAGGTATCAATCCTCTGCTGTGTGAAGGGGAGCACGCTGTAGCCAAGAAACGCAGCAAACGCTTCTGATCAGGATCCACTTTGAGCGAGAGGGGCACGTCACTTTTGACGGCATGCCAGAGCTCAATCACCCCCCACTCCGACTGCCATCGGTCCGATGCGCGCGCATGGACCGGCAACCTGTGGCCATTCACCACCACAAAACCAGCTTCTTTCCACTGGCCTTGAGCCATGTTTGACCTTCTCCGAAGAAGACATCAATCTCCGAATGTCGGACTCAAAGGCATGCAAAACATCCTCCAGGTAGATATGAGTGGATATGAGTAGTTGTGAGTGGTTATGAGTGGTTATGATTGGTTATGAGTGTGTTATAAGTGGTTATGAGGGGTTATAAGTGTGTTAAGAGTATGTTAAGAATACATTACAAGTATGCCAAGAGTGGTTATGAATGCCTGTCTGTACCGGGGTCTCATTGATGAGGACCCCTAAGCCTTTCCTGATTACTGGTAGCTTCTTGCTACTAGTAGCGATGGCCTCCACCCTAGTAGCGATGGCCTGCAACCTACTAGCTTCTTTGCACCAGTCTGTGCCCTTATTCTAATTTCTTTATTTGGCTCTCTCCTTGCTTCCTCCTTTCTTCTTGATTTTCCTTCCTTCTTTCCTTCTCTCTTGTTTTTTCTCCTTGCTTCTTTCCGTCCCTTTTTGCTTCCTTTGCTTCTTTCCTTCCTTCCTCCTTGCAGCACACACCACTCCTGGCACAATGTTTTCTGTTTGCCTGCCTGTCTTACTTTGTTTGTTTTTCTTTCTTTCTTTTGTTATTTCTTTCTTTCTTTAGTGACACACAGAAAAGTATATAAAAGAAAACACACAAAATCATCAAACACCAGGGATTTGGTGTCCCCTGCCCGAAGCTTGTTGAAATAGACTGCCTATATAGAGCCCTGGAATCCAGGGATGAAGCTTTAAGACCATACGGCAGGAACAGCTTAACTCCACATGTGCGATTACATGGTTCCAACCCACCGGGTGTTCTTCATGGTTTGGTGGGTTTGGTGACCCCTGCCCGACAAGGAAGAAACAAGGAAACAAGGAAACACTATCAAGAGAGGAAACAAGGAAAGCAGATGACACTTTTGCAGCGCCAGTCAGAACAAAAAACACTTTTTCAGTGCCATAAGAGAGGACAGACACTTCTTCTGGAGGACAAGCAAAGAAAAGAAACACACAAACAGTGCACCCTGGAATCCAGGGAAGTTTGTCTCCATCCTTCTTGCTGCTTGATTTACATGTGCGACAGAACTCACTCCTGGCACAGGGTTGTTTTGAAAATTGCAACAAAACATGCCTAAAACACACACCACACTCCTGGCACAAATATTACAAAATTGAGCCATGAAATTTGACCCCAGTATAAGAGTTTTAGCCAATGGACGCAAGGACGTCCACTGGCCAGCAATGCCTATGGGCAAAAGCTTGACCGGAAAATAACCCTCATCATCCTGTCTCGATCCAAACCAAACTTATCTTAAAACGTCCAGGCACCAAGGGGTGCAAACATCGATGTACGATGTGTCGGGTATTGCCACGCTTTGAGAGTAGTCTGTGGCACACCGTGTGGGAAAAGGCGTTTGCGCACAGTTTACCGTACATCTGCACATGAACGCCTGCATCCATACAGTTGAATGTGAAACTGCTGTATACACATCTAAACATGTACGCAAGAACCCCTGAATTCACATGTGGCACAAAATGAATATAAACCTGCATGAGCATGGGTATCAACTCTACCACCTTTGGGGACCTGAACCCACACAATTTGTGGTGAACCTGCAAAGATATCGGCTGTCCGACTTCTTTAGAGACATCACCTGCATCCAGCATCCATACATTTGAATGTGAAACTGGATATAAACACCTGTATACAGTATACACATCAACTGTAAAACATCCTCAGGGTAGAGATCTGCATTCAGACTTTTGACCGTGACACTGTGCATTTCTGTGCATATACACATACAAATATATCATTTGTTGAGACCTCAGGGCAGAACCTGCATCCATACATTATTTCAACTCTAACCTCTGACATCCTCTCACAACGTGGAAGGGGAAGCCCCCTGACATCCCCTGACCAAAGGTATCAAGAGCTTGCAGAAGCTTTGGATTGGGCAGAATGCCTGGGCCTCAGCAAAGGATTGTGCAATATTATGCCAACTCAGTGTTTGATTCGGGTTTTGCTTGTAAACGATACTCTTCATACCGACCCAAGTCTTTTGGCCTCGGTGTTCCCCGTTCGAATGCCCTGTTTCATGTCATGTTCCATCGGATTTAGGCTGCAACATACTGCAACCTGTTTGAAGACTTTCTCCGTGAACCGACAGTTTTATTTCCCCAGATAGCTGAAGGCTATAGTATACGGCTTCTTACTTCTCAATGAGTGGTGGGTGGCTGATCGGTGTTTTGGTCCACCGCTGCTTCTGCCATGTGTCTCCTCACCTGTCTCCCTACATGTTTGCCTCTGTGTGATTGGCGTTTTGTGCGCCGCATGCTGCCTTGTCTCCGCACTTGTCTCCTTACATTTCTCCCCACTTGTTTGTCTGTGTGATCGGCGTTTTGTGTGCTGCTGCTGCTGCTGCTGCTGGTGCTGCCGTCGCCACATGTATCTCTCATTGGTTGGCCGTGCTGCCACTTGTCGCTTTACATGTCTCCTCCCACTTTACCCCCCCCAGTCCCGAGTTGTTTGCCTGTGTGATCGGCATTTTGTGTGCCCCTCCGGCCTTGTAAACAACATGTTGGGTCAACAGGGTGCGGTTGCCGGTTGCCCGACTTCAGAGAACATTCTCAGGTTCTTCACATCATGGCTAGAAATCGGGGGAGCTGGTTTCAGTTGCGTTCTTGTTTCAACTCTCGTTACTCGACACTTTTCCTTTGTAGTTGGAGCAAACTGTTCAGAAATTTTCATATGTTGCATGCATTGCGATTTTGGCTTCCAGGACATGGCGGGGACAACTTTTGGTCTACCAGTAGGTTTCAAGATGTTGTAGAAATACTCGACTTCTAGGACCTCCTTCTGTTGAAAACCTCTCCAGCTTTTCTTAAACCTCGAAACTCTTCTCCAACATTTTGAATATCGAACAAAGTGCCCTTTGTGGCAAAGCTTTTGTCACCAAAAGGGTTCCCTGAGGCTGAACAAGGTAATGCCGCGATGCCGGTGATGCAGTTTAAGGTTCCTGCGTGTTTTTACATTTTTCCGTAAGACTTCTATCATCCTTCCTTTTGGACTCTCCTGTTTTGAAGCCTCTCTTCTTTCCTTAAGGCCTAAATCTCGCATTTCATCATCTCCTGACCCTGACTAGTAATAGTTCAAGTATGTTCAAGTTATGTTTTATATAAAGGACATTTTGAACAAAGAACATTTAAACCATCCTACGAAGATGCGCTCAAACTACCACTCCGACCCCTATCGCTGTGGCTAGTCTAACTAATGTCTCAAGCTTATTGCTTTTTCACCAGATAGCTGAACGCTAGTCTGAAAGTTATTACTATAAGGGGCTCTTACTTCTCAATGAGTGGGTGGCTGATCGGCGTGCCGCTGCTGCCGTGTGTGATTGGCGTTCTGTTTGCTGCTGTTGCTTTGTCTCCCTGTTTGTTTCTGCGCTCGTCTCCCCACTTGTCCCCTTATCTCCCCATCTGTGGCGCCTTGTCCCAACTTGTCTCCCTAATTGTTTTTCTACTTGTTTCTTTACATGTCCCCCCACTTCTGAGAAGATGACCAGGTTACCGTGAAATCACCCGGAGAGGTGTTGTTGGACCAACTCACGGTGACTGGAAACTATGATGTGATTTATTCGTTGATTGGTTATATAGTTGATTTCTTTGTTCCAGTGTCAGGTGTTTGTTTTTAGAGTTAGTTGCTATCTGGTGCTGTCTTCTCTCTTCTTCGAAGAGACTTCGTGCTTTGTCGGAAGCATCCTCGACCAGCACAAGTATAATCATACATATATATATATATACATACTCAGTTTCCGATTCAGAGAGACTGGGTTCCGGCCCCAAACCCATGGTTTTCTTTACCGAATGGACGCCAACGCTGTGAGGCTCTTTGGAAGCTTCCGGAGCATTGCCTTTATCGCATGCATGCGCTGAAGGTGCAAGGGCAGGGATTCCGGGGCTGACGGGTTAAATGAGGCAGCTTTGTGTGTGGATTTCAAGCAAAGAAAGTTGGGCGGAGAAGGGCATCGAGAACTTCATGGAAGGCTGTGGCTGTACGACACGATTAGGCCATATTAGGCCATCAACACCCGCCATCCCAACATGCAATTGTTTGGTGTACCTGCAGCATCCCAACAGGAAGATGCAAGAAGGTGTCAAGGTTCTGGAAGAATGATCCATGTTGATTCCATGGTTTGTGCCTCTTAATCAGGATGAGCTGTCAAGAAGTGTCATTGGCATCAGCCTGCGTTGTGACGTGCCCGTTGGGCAGGAGCTGAGCTTGAAGAGTAACAAACTCCGAGAACTGCCACAGAGCTGGGATGCCAAGCTGCGCAGAGACAGGTCCTATGGCGAGACCAGTTGGTGACAAAAACTGATGAAGACGTGCTTTCAGTTGTCGTCAAGGTCAAGGGAGTTGTGATGATTTATGACAGGTTAGACAAGTGGGTAATTGAGACGTGAAACACCAGAACTGCAGCAACCTCCAACGCGGTTTCAACCTTTGGCTACGTTGCCCGACCAAGTGGGAATCTGGTACCCATGGATGAAGTGCAACCTACCATTTTTTAAGTTTGATGGGGATACCAGCTTGGAACTAAATTACAAAAGGCTTATTCAAATCATGTCAAATTTAACTCTGTGTTATTCCTATTTGACAACTATCCTGCAAAGGCTTCCAATTGGATTTGACTCCAATCATACACTGGGTGGCTTGCATTTAAATTAAAGCCTTCTACGTTCACTGTTCTTTCCTATTCCGATGTTACAATCGAATCTAATCTAATCTTACTTTCAAGGTACTCTGCCTTGGAACAGCTTCAATCTAAAGCAATGCCTATTTCTTCTTTACAGGGCTTCCTTCTGAATTCAAGCTTGCGTGCAAGAACATTACTTTGCCAGGCTTCCATTCAAATGCAACCGTCTTTCTGTCTATGCTTGGAAAGGCTTCCATTCAAATGCGAGCGTCTTTCTTTCTATGCTTGGAAGGGCTTCCATTCAACTGCCAGCTTCTCTTTTTTCTCCGTGTCATCACGGGTCTCTTCCATGTTGCTTTCAGGGCTCAACCTTCAAGAGATTTCAGAGCCATGCTTTACCGACGTCAAGAGGTGACCAGACCAGATGGTGTGGCAGTTGAAGTTGAGTTGCCAGCAGCTCCAGCCTCTTCAAGTTCAGATTTGTAGCAAGTGGCTGCATGAGAGAGAGTCTGACAAACCGACGGAAGATCTTGGTGGCTCAAAGAGGGGCCTTGGCCTGGCATGAACTTAGAAAAGACAAGTTCCAAGAAGGGGAGAAACCTCACCAATCTTCTCAGCGCTGGCTTCGCAGCAAAAGCATGTTGCATTCGACTCTTACCAACGGTAACCGTGGCAAAAAATGACCTTGATTGCACGGCGCTCCAGACGCCTTGATTGTGACAAGGCTTGGTGCTTTAGCTTGGAGTGCCCGAGTCTGCCCGAGCACTCTTTTGATTGAGGAAGCCGGGGAACGCACTGAGAATTTGAATTTGAAGAAGCTGAAGCGGCGCCCCGCTGCTGTGTATGCGCGACAAGAAACTCCAGCCTTGAAGAAGATGCACCAGGTGGGCATCCCGGTGGATCAAAGAGTCTTGGTTTCTTTAGACCAATGTGAGTTCTTTTTGCCCTTGCTTGATCTTAGGCATTCACATTTTTCACACATAAAGAGTGGCGCTATCAAACTGCTCTTCCTATCAAATTCCTTCGCTCATCTTAGGATTTGCAGTTAAGCGTGTTCAAGTCATTTTTGTTTTCGCGCTGAGTTGTGCATCTTGAGGACCTGTTTTCGCACAGATCAAGAACCGCAGGCTGAAAAGGCAAAAAATGGAACAACTGGTCCATTGACTGCTTGGGAGAGCTCCCTCGTGCTCCTCCGAAAACTTGTGTGTTTCCTTCATGCGCACTGAAGTCGAAGAGATAGTCCCAATGTGCAACCTGAAGGCATGGGTTACGTGTTCCAGACAAACAGAGAAGGGCTGTTGTTGGCCTTGTGGCCTTCTCATGTGCACCAAAGGACCATGCGAATGGTCACATATCTATATTCTTCCACAGAAAATGAAGCAGCCCAACGATCGCTTTTGGGGCAATATCTATCCAGCATGCACGCAGGCTGTGGCGCATGCTTACCGCGAAAATAGCCAGACAATTTATATTCCCGTACCGCCGTAGGTGTCTGCAGTATGTTAAGAAAAACAATGTCACTGCGCGGAGAGTTCCGGGAGGTGCGCTGAGAGCGGCCAGCCGAGGTTGCACATCTTTCAGCCTTGCTAGACTTAGAGTGGTTGCTGCAGTTTTCTTCCTTGCGGAACTAGGCCACAGAAGGGAGAAAAGTTCCTTCCTTGCTTGCCTGCAGATGCAAAGAAGATAGCGATCTACCATTGCCTTGGAGTTAGGGACATTGTAGATATCTTTTGCGTTGCGAGCAATGCAGAAGAAAAACTAATGGAAACTACTGTAGACAACGTGCTCGTAAAGTACCCAGGCAAGATCGACCGGACAAATTGTGGGAGGGGCTTGCCCAGCCTTTGCAAACAGCGGCGCAGAGATGTCGCTCTAACTTGAGAGCTCTGCAGAGGTGAAAGAGAAGATTCGAGCTTAAAGGCAACGCGTTGCATTGAGGTTTGCAGACCTTGAGTTGGAACTAGTCCCGACGGACTAGTCCCAACAGATGGAGATATATAGCTCCTGCCGCTTCTTAGCGGTCCTCTGCAGAGATACCTATGGATGCGCAAGATTTTGGAGCCCAGCCCCGGGGGTGCATTGCCTTCAGGCTTTCAGAGTTTGCCAGAGCTTTCGAAGCCAAGATTCAGTCCTCGATTGAAAGCTTTCACACTTGCCTAGATTCCATTGCCCTGCGGATTACCTGAAGGGTTGGATACACCGAAAACAATCACGAAAGCAAAAATGGCTTGAGTCTAAATTCAACCTTGTTCATGAAGATAATTCATGAAGATAGTGAGAAGTCAAAAATAAAACACTTAAAACCAAACTTACACCTTTCCTACATTTGGTGCCCCTCCTATCCCATGGGCTGGAGCGTCCCTGTTGGTGGAGACAGCCAGATGAGGGATCCGATGCAGGTTTGGGTTTGCTTTGCTCCCTGGAAGTTCTTTACCTTCAGGACACGAAATCCGTAGCGACAGTCCCTGACATGTTGGCTTTGTCGTGAGCTGCATGCAGTGAAAACGATCCATGTTGAGACCATGATCCTTGGGGAAGATGAAAGTAACCAGTCACTAGGGGAGCAGCGCGAGTCACAAGTCTGGCTGGATGCACAAACTTGTGATGGGGAATGGATGAGGTTGTGAGAAAGTTTTGGTTCATCCAACCTTTTTTTGTCCAAGCCGGCCTCTCCGCGCTGTAAACCAAACATTTGGCCAAATATTTGGTCACAGTGGCGCCCTGGCGTTTCTTCGCGAGGACAATGAGCTTGAAGGGCTTCCAGCAAGCCTCGAGGAACTCAAGCAGCTTCGCATGCTGTGGCTGGAGGCCGTTGGCTACGGGGAGCACAACGTGTACTATTACTACGCTAATTTGATTGGAATTGCTTGAAGGAGTCCGCTCGGAGTTAATGATGTTGTTTTAAGGCAATATTTTTGACAACCGCTAATGCACATATTTTTGCAGTTTTTTTAAAACAAAACGTTTCCCGCGGATCGACAAATTGTTCTGAGTTCAGGACCATTGACCCTGCAGACATGTGTGGGTTGCATATAGATTTTAACAGGATGTACCACTCAGGCAATGGCCGGCAAACACAAGGGTTGTTGAGGCTACACGGTTGTTTATCTATGGATTGATTAATACAACATGTAACATGTATTCTTAAATGTGTATAAATTGGAACTGAGTCAGCCTGACCTAATCTCCATTGCTTTCGACATGCCATCGCCTGTGTCGAACATCGTTTATATCGCTTTGACAATTTGCCAGTACTTGTAAATTCTGGAGACCAGTGACATGCCTATAGCTTTTATATATAATGCGTTGTCCCAACATCGTGAGGCATGTCGTTGTTTCACACCTGACAACATGAGACATGTCAGGCATGTCATGTCTCAAGGAACGCAAGACATTTGACGCAATTTTGAGTTGGAACTTTGCCAGCAGGACAATCGGCTGTCCAGCTTGCCTTGGACTTGTGCGCGGCAAAGACTACGGGCTGGCTTTGCAGTTTGTGCAGGTGTTGGAGGGGGCTGAAAGAGGGCGACATGTGCATACAAGCGAAATGCTGCCGATGCCCTAAAGTTTTCTTATTAGAAAGTCGTAATGTGACGTTCCTTTATTCTTTCAACATTGGAGATAGTAAAAGACATCATGGGTCTTGAGTCTTGAGCAAGGTGTACCTGAAGTCTTGACAATCTTCGAAGCATCGAATCCCAGTACTGGAGCACAACCAGCAGAGCCCCCCCCACAAAGACAAAGACCAAATATCTTCAGTGAGGTCTAGGTCACTGGCATCCGCAAAACCTCTTTTTGCGGACGGTTGCACAAGGAATGGAGGTTCAATCACACGTTCTGGCCGAAGCTGAATTGAGTTTCCCTCATTTTGAGGCCCCACGCCACGCCCTCTAACTACAATATAGATATTTACACTATGCTGTCTTGAACACGTTGCAAGTTACGGTGCTGCGGATACCTTGAGACAATTGAAATGCCCAAAAGCTCCACTTCGAGCTTTGTTCAACCTCAGCATTGATCGCTAGTTGCGCCTGTGTGAAGCGATCAAGATGGTTGATAAACTGCCAGATAAAGAGTCAGCAGCTACTGGAGAAAACGTAACAGAAAAATACAAAGATGACTACAGCTGCCCACAGCGTTTGGTTCCTTTGAGCCGCCCAAATGCATTGCCCGTCCATCAAAACTTCCCTGTCCGAGGTACTCAGCCCACTTCCTTGCCGGCAGGGCTGGGCAAGAAGGGCAGGGCTGGGGCAGCGGTGGGAGTTTCATTGACGATAGGAACGTTGCTGTTGGTGGGGCTGGTCCAAACAATTCGCATCCCATGGAGGAAGCATTTGGTATCACAGTTGCCTGTTTCTACCACACAAATGGTCCTGAATTTGACATGGCCATGTCAACACGACTTGTACGTTGTCCTACACCTGAACTGCGCAAACTGAAAAAGCTCAGTTGATGCTTGCTGAAACTGGGGGTCCGGGGGGTGGATCTAAACGGGGACCACCCTGCATTTTCTTTCCGTGCTTTGGTGTCTTCTTATGTTGAGACCACACCCAGAGGATCCCAGCGTTATCTAGTACATGAACAAAAACATTTATCAGATTGATTCACTTTATCACGAAAGGTAGCTTGATCTACATGAGTTCTCCTTGCTTTAGCAAACATGTATTACAATCAGGAGTTGGGATTGTGCATTGAATTTGGTCCTGTAAGAGTTGATTCTGTTCGTGGGGGGGGGGGCCCCCTGGATCAAATCCCCCCTGCGCCGGTTCACGCCGTCATGGACTTCTACCAGGGTTACTTGTGATTGCCTGCTACCTTTCACCTTTCGTTCACCCCCTCCTCTCTCAAGTATAGTATAGTTAAACTGTGTCTTTCTAATTTGTTCTACATTTGAGGTCACGAGTCACACTACTCACCGGCGGCTCGCAGGCCTTGCAATTGGTGAAGCTCCAGAAAGCTGTGCCCTATGACGCGGCCCCTTGGCTCTTGGGGCAACAAAGGATTTGTCGAAGTTTACATTGGGATTGGTGATCAGGGGAGAATTGGCAATTTTATTGCTCAGAAGCTTTCGGATACTTGTGCAGGCAGTAGTGTGTTTGGCAAGAGTATATAAGCGTGTGGTAAGAGTCCTTTGACATGTGCAAACACATTGTGTCAAATGTTCAAAAAATTCCCGGTTGTGCGATAGCCATGGGATTGATTCATGCCCTTGTAGACAGTCACCGACCCTGAAAAATGTGTGATTAATTGAAGTCCTTTATAATCCTTATGTTTTTGTATTCTGTGGTTACAGCTACAGTACTGATGCTAGATAATTCAGGATTCTTGTAGGCTGCTGACTGAGAAGAACTCTCCGCCGCGCAATACGGCTGCCGCTAAGCCTAGTTTGTTTTTCTTTACCTTTTATTCCGGGTCCTCTTTTTTGCATGGCCTTCCCCGCGCTTGTGTAAAAAGCTGTGAGTTGCTTCTAGCATCTTTCAAATGTAGAGTCTACGTAGAGGAGCATACGGTAAGGACTCCCAGGCATTGTTGTAGGGGATTCGCTTTTCTACTCTGTTCAATCCTTCTTAGGATCACCTCATTTCCAAACAGCTTGATCCGCGAACGAGCCCAGGCGCCACGCTTGCTGGAAACCTTGGAGCAGCCACTTCTCCGGCCACTTGAAGCGCCGAGTTCGCCCGTCGTTCGGGGGGAGGTCAGGTCTCGCGCCTGGATTGATCTGTGACTAGGTCATAGTCGGTGCCATGTTTGAACTTGGTGAGCCAATTTGGAAGGTTCTACGAATTCTGTGTGAATGCAGAAGATTGGGATGGTGGATGCTGGTGAACTTAGGAAGCTCAAGTGGGTACCATGGATGAGAAAAGATAAGGAACATCTAGAATCTAGAAGGTCCTTCCAGTTTCAGCTATCGGTGGATGTTCCAGTCTCTTTTGTAACACACAATAGAGTATGAAAGCTGTACAGCAGCCTCAAGGCCAGCAATTTTTCCCTTCACAGGGGGAAGCCTCTTGCATGTGTGTGGGTGTGCGTGTCTGTGTGTTTGACACCAGCAATTTGAGCGATCTTGTCACCTTGGAATTTGTGAAGTTTCAGAAGAAGCAAGAAGAACATGGAAGAACCTCATACTCATGTATCTCAAATATAAATTCTGGTTCATGCACGTTGTCCTGCATTTTGATTCGGATGCCGCCAAGCCCTGATGATGCAAAACCGTGGCTCGGGACAGCCCAGAAGTCAAGATTCAGAATAGAAAAGAGCCAATTCAGCACATGGATAGGTCCAACCCCAACCCTACGTCACTGTAGCCAATGTAGCCTCTGTTTCTGCCCTACTCATAGTCAGGTATTGAATGAACTGTAGGCGCAGAACCTTTGAAGCTAATGCTATGCTCAACCAGCGCGGAAAGGGAACTGCGATAACGATCTATCACTCTTTTTGGGGTGCCCTGTCTTGAAGCTCAACCAACCAATATGAACATATGAACAAATGCAGATGGGAAAATCATTTTTGCTTGAGCCCTTGAAAGAGATCGAAGTCTTCATTGCGAACCAGTAATTAACAACTTCACAGACGTTGACTGCTTCACCATTGGCTGTGAGCCAGCCCTCTTGGAGGCGGCTCTGAATGCTGGAGCTTTCTGTGACATTCACTTAAACCGGTAATGTTCCTCAAGGATATCAATCATGAGGGCTTTCTTGGGGAGATTCGTCCGCTCCGAGCGTTGATTTTTTTGGTGTGATGAGCAAGCAGTTGCCTTGAGCTCAACAGTTCTACAGCTCAGCACGTTTGGTGTGTTCACGTGATCAATCAAACTTCTCGTGCTTTGGGTTTGTTCAGGTACAAAGAGATGAACATGGGGGCTATAAGACACGTGTCCTTTCGGAAGCATTCACTTTGACTCTTGACAATCCCTCACAGGATGTGACATGAGGTTGCCTTTCTTTGCAGAGCTGAGCCAGTCGCTATACAGAAATGCATGCATTTTGAGTGCTATTGCATACGCTCATCATGAATCATTCACTAGCATAGCCACAAATCAGTTTTGGTGTGTCCTACAAGTGAAGTGCAAGCAGGGTTTTTTACATAGCGGAGTGTACGGGCATGTGACCAACATGTCTACAGTAATTAGCTTGCTCTCACAGGTGTGATGGCGGCTGGTGCGGCAGGCAGGGAGGAGGACATGCTGTGACATGCTGGTCAAGCCATTTAAGCTGAGATGACACATTATGCCTTTACTATCAATCACGTTGCTCTCCGCAAAAGCCATGAATTTGGTTCGCATGCAGAGTTTCTTTATTATAGTATGGACATTGGCTACATGTTCACACCTTTGCGTCATTTTTTGTCCCAGCTGCTGTACAGCAGCAGATTCAGGGTGTCAGACATCCACCGGATGTTATGCAGGTGCTGTGGTGGGCCTCCGGATGCACCAGCAGGGCAAGCACCTACGAGGTTCCATGTCTCAGGCCGATCGGGGTTGTCGTCGGGGGCGTAGGGACCGGTTGCTGCGATTGGGTAAGAAAAAGTGTATAGTGCATCGCTACTAGTAACAAGTGCATTACTACTGATAACAAGAAGCTACTAGTGGCTATTTGCTACTAGTAGTAATGCACGTGTTACTACTCGTAGTAGCGATGCACTTGTTACTATTTTAAGGCTTACGCCTGACAGCCGGGCACCGGCCCAACACAGGGCAAAAGTAGGACGGTAGAGGGGATAGAGGCAAAAGACATGAGGCGATGGGGGCCGGGACGTCGGGCATCCCGGCAGCAGCCTTCAATATGGAAGGGGGCTGACCCGGGTGTATGTAAGAGACAGCAAAGGTCGGGAGAGCCGTCTCTCTCTCTCTCACTCTCACTCTCTCTCTCTCTCTCTTTCTCGTTGGCTTGCTGAGGGTCTCTTTCCCTCCATGTCTTTCTCCCTCTCTTTCCCTCTCTCTCTCTCTCTCTCTTTCCCTCTCTCTCTCTCTCTCGCCCTTTGTTTCTATCGCTCTCTCTCCGTCTGTTTCTCTCTCTCTCTCTCTCTCTTTCTTTCTGTCTGTCTGTCTGTCTTTCTTTCTTTCTTTCTTGCTTTCTTGCTTTCTATCTTTCTTTCTGTCTGTCTCTGTCTCTGTCTCTCTCCCTCTCTATCTCTCTCTTTGTGAGACTGTGTGGGGCCTATGTTGCCACATCTTGAGGCTATCTTGGCCCATCTAGGGGCTATGTTTCCCATATCTGGGACCTATGTAGGGTCATCTCGCGGCTATGTGTGCCATATCTGGGACCTATGTTGGGTCATCTGGAGGGCCTCTGTCAGGTCATCTTGGAGCACATTTTCCGCCATTGATGTTGGAGCGCCCGACACCCACGAAATGTCGATTAATCCTGTCCGCGCGGCGCGCATTACCGACACCACCCTTGAAAAGCACAGGGTTTTTGCATTTCTCCATCTTCGCCGCGTGGCATTTTCCACGCGCATAAAGCACAGTGTTTTTTATACCTCACACACACAAACCACTGTAAATTACGTGGGTCAGAGGTGGGTCGGGGGTGGTCGGCGCTCAGTGCCTAACATTTGCGCAGGGCTTCAAGGCGGGCAAACGACACCGGTGTGCCCAGTGCCTAACGTCGCTTTCGAAGCCCTGTAGAAAAGAGGTGCAGGCCAAGGCCTTCTAGACGGGTGTGACCATTGCCAGTGCCTAACGTCGCCTTCGAAGCCATAAAGAAAAGCTGGTGTGGCCGAGAGCCTAACGGCGGGCAAACGACACCATCTATTTCTGCCCGCAACAGCGGTCGGAAGGGGGGTGTGCCCAGTGCCTAACGTCGCTTTCGACGCCCTATAGAAAAGAGGCTTCGAAGCCATAAAGAAAAGAGGTGCAGGCCAAGGCCTTCTAGGCTGGTGTGGCCAAGAGCCTAACATCTGCGCAGGGTTTCAAGGCGGGCAAACGACACCATCTATTTCTGCCCGCAACAACGGTCGGAAGGGAGGTGTGCCCAGTGCCTAACGTCGCTTTCGAAGCCCTATAGAAAAGAGGTGCAGGCCAAGGTAGACCGGTGTGACCGTTGCCAGTGCCTAACGTCGCCTTTGAAGCCCTAAAGAAAAGAGGTGCAGGCCAAGGCCTTCTAGGCTGGTGTGGCCAGTGCCTAACGTCGCCTTGGCCTTCTAGGGCAGTGTGACCGTTGCTCTTCACGTCGCCTTCGAAAAGAGGTGCAAGCCAAGGCCTTCTAGGCCTGCGTGGCCAATGCCTAACGTCGCCTGCGAAGCCCTATAGAAAAGAGATGCAATGCAGGCCAAGGCTTGCAAAGGGCGACTGCGTTGGACACTGCAAGGCCCATCCACTGGCAACGGCTTCCACACTGCAAGGCATATCCACTGGCAACGGCTTCCACCCTGCGGTGTCCCCCCGCCTAGGCGTCAGCTAGGCTGGGGTCGGCGGATATAGTTACGTACTCAAATGACGTCAGCGGCGGGGTCTGTGGTGCATCACTTCAGAATCAGCAAGTCGAGGCGGTCAAGGGGTCAAGGGAACAAGCAGCGGAACCAACGCAAGTACTCATTCCAACATAGTGTCGAACATTTCTTTTTCGAAAACATGTCCTTGCCACAACTCAACTGACCCTGCCTCAGGGAGACTTGGATGCGTCCATCAAAGTGGACGATGCACCGGTGGTCAAGGCTCACGAGCAAAAAAATCAATTTAGGACGTTCCGCAGCATGTTATTTTGGGGTAGGTTCGAGTCCCGTTGAACCAGCTGTCCATGTGTTTGTTTCTTCAAACTGACGCACTGAAAAATCCAATAAGTGCCTGTCCGGGTTCACCAGCAAGCGGCGAATTCGTGGTTATATAGCGTGTGCTGTGTGAATCCGTAGTTCAGAAGCCGTGAGAAACCCACAACTACTGTAGTCAAATTGTAGCTAATGGCCTTGATTTCTGCACGAATGTCGGCAGTTAGAATGTCACTTAGTACTTGGTTGGAGGCCATTGAATATTAGGTTGGAGGCCATCGCTTTTAGGTTGGAGGCCACCGCGACTTGCAGGCCAAGCCTTCCGGTTGGACCCTTCATCAACTCATGGAATCTCAATAGCAGAGCGGATCAAGCCGAATCCGCTGCGGAGAGAGTGCTAGACCTTTGAGGTCTACCGCCAAGCAGACCCGAGCACTTGGAAGGAGCTTCGAGTGCGCATTTCTCAGGTAAAGCCGGTGTTGTCACTGAGGGTGACGCGCTTTCTGTAAATACTGGCTGAATGATGTGAATGCAACACATGGAAGTCACTGAGTCCCGAAGATCCAGAAGGAAACTCGCGGAGTGGAGTGGGAAAGCTGCTGCCGTGCAACAGGAATTGCGAGCTGGAATTCAGCAAATAGACGTTGCTGACCAGCGGATGGTTCACGGGAAAACATCAATCATTCCTGGGCAACATCATCAGAGCCCAGGAGATTGTTATAGATTGTTGCGGTTTGCCATCCTAAATTTACCCAGATGAGACCCGTCATATGTAAGGGCATTGCTTTTCACACCGCCAAGATAGGGATCCTAAATCGCAACCACCTTGGACCCAAAGATTTTGAGCGGGTCTGAGAACTGTGGATCCCGGAATCCCTGGGCCGGAACATCTCGACTGACCATCGGACCACTGAGGCCTCGTGCCTTTCGGGCTGGCTGCGAGGATTGCA